TTGGGTAGGTTTTAATAGTCACAGTGGGAACAACATCCCCTATACACTTCCTGATTAAATCAGTCAATGTGTCCATGTGCACTACCGTTCAAAAGTTTGGGGTCACTTAGAAAAAAACTGGCACCTCACAGGTCCTCAACTGGCAGCTTCATTAAATAGTACCCGCAAAACACCAGTCTCAACGTCAACAGTGAAGAGGCGACTCCGGGATGCTGACCTTCTAGGCAGAGTTGCAAAGAAAAAGCCCTATGTCAGACTGCCCATCTTAATATTTTATTTTTATTGGCCAGTCTGAGATATGGCTTTTTCTTTGCATCCCGGAGTCGACTCTTCACTGTTGACATTGAGACTGGTGTTTTGCGGGTACTATTTAATGAAGCTGCCAGTTGAGGACCTGTGAGGCATCTGTTTCTCAAACTAGACACTCTAATGTATTTGTCCTCTTGCTCAGTTGTGCACCGGGGCCTCCCACTCCTCTTTCTATTCTGGTTAGAGCCAGTTTGCGCTGTTCTGTGAAGGGAGTAGTACACAGCGTTGTACGAGATCTTCAGTTTCTTGGCAATTTCTCGCATGGAATAGCCTTCATTTCTCAGAACAAGAATAGACTGACAAGTTTCAGAAGAAATGTATTTGTTTCTGGCCATTTTGAGCCTGTAATCGAACCCACAATTGCTGATGCTCCAGATACTCAACTAGTCTCAAGAAGGCCAGTTTTATTGCTTCTTTAATCAGCACAACAGTTTTCCGCTGTGCTAACATAATTTCAAAATGTTTTCTAATGATCAATTAGCCTTTCAAAATGATAAACTTGGATTAGCAAACACAACATGCCATTGGAACACAGGACTGATGGTTGCTGATAATGGGCCACTGTACGCCTATGTAGATATTCCATTAAAAATCTGCAGTTTCCAGCTACAATAGCCATTTACAACATTAACAATGTCTACACTGTATTTCTGATAAATTGTATGTTATATATTGATCAAAACAATCTGAAGCATGGATTCCAATTGGTCAGACCAGCATTGAATAGACCTTAGCATGGGTCCCGTTTGAGTTTCTGCCTATAGGATGGGAGGAGCGGGATGGAGTCGTGAGGTGATTTGCCGAAGGGAGGGGTGTGGAGGGCCTTGTAGCCATCCCGGAAGGGGGAGTAACAATGGTTGAGAGTTTTTGATGCACGAGTACTACAGGCAATCATGAAACATACACCACCGCTTTTCTTCTTCCCAGAGAGTTCTTTATTCCTGTCTGCGCGATGTACTGAGAACCCAGCTGCTGTATGGACGGGGACAGTTTATCTGGAGAGAGCCATGATTCCATGAAACAGAGTATGTTACAGTCCCTAATGACTTTCTGGAAGAAGATCCTCGCCCTGAGCTCGTCTACTTTATTGTCCAGGGACTGAACATTAGCGAGTAATATACTCGGAAGCGGTGGATGGTGTGCACGCCTCCTGAGTCGGACCAGAAGTCCACTCCGAATACCTCTTCTCTGTTGGCGGCGTCTTGGAGCAGCCTCTGGGATAAGTTCACTTGCCCTGGGGGGTTCAAACAAAGGATCCAATTCGGGAAAGTCGTATGTCTTAAACGTAATGCTGGTGAGTTACCGCCGCTCTTATATCCAGAAGTTCTTTCCAGCTGTATGTAACAATACAAAAAACTTTCTGGGCAGGGGCCGGGTGGGCATTCCGCCTCGGAGGCGGATCCGGCTCGGGGTGTGACGACCTCTCACTCTCCGCCTCCCTGTTGCGCCCCTGGTCTGGTCTGGACCTCGGCGCACTGCTTCCCCTCTCCTTCCTCCCACGATACGCCAGGCCCTGTCTGGACCCTGGTGTGGGAGACCCCGAACCTGGAGAGGGGCTGACGTCATGGTCTGGACTGGAGCCGCTGACCGGAGCTGGACTAGGCACCGATTGGGCGGACTGCTCTGGCTCCGGAGTGGAACCGCTGACCGGAGCTGGACCAAGCACCGGTGGAGCGGACTGCTCTGGCTCCGGAGTGGAGCCGCTGACCGGAGCTGGACTTAATCCCGGTGGAGCGGACTACTCTGGCTCCGGAGTGGAGCCGCTGACCGGAGCTGGATCAGGCACCGGTGGAGCGGACTGCTCTGGCTCCGGAGTGGAGCAGCTGACCGGAGCTGGCTTGGTGCGAGGAGCAGGAACAGGCCGGGCCGGGCTGGCGACGCGCACCACTGGCTTGGTGCGAGGAGCAGGAACAGGCCGGGCCGGGCTGGCGACGTGCACCACTGGCTTGGTGCGGGGAGCAGGAACTGGCCGGGCCGGGCTGGCGACGCGCACCACTGGCTTGGTGCGAGGAGCAGGAACAGGCCGGGCTGGACTGTGGAGGCGGACTGGAGGTCTAGAGCGGAGAGCTGGCACAACCCGTCCTGGCTTTCTGCCCACTTTCGCACTACACGTGCGGGGTGCTGGCACAGGACGCACTGGGCTGTGCACGCGCACTGGCGATACAGTTCGTAGAACTGGCACAGGATATGCGGGACCGAGGAGGCGTACTGGAGACCAGGAGCATTGAGCCGGCACACCCCACCCTGGCTGGATGCCCATCTTCGCACGGCACGTGCGTGGTGCAAGCACAGGACGTACAGGACTGTGCCGGCGCACTGGCGACACAGTACGTAGCTCCGCATAACACGGAGCTTGCCCAGTCATACGCCTCTTCGCGTGAGTACGGGGAGTTGGCTCTGCTCTAACCCTAGGCTCCCCCAACCACACTGTGTGCCCCCCCAAAAAAATTTATTGGGGCTGCTTCTCGGGCTTCCTCCTCGACCGGCCTCCTCCGTGTTGCCGTTGCTCCTCTCCTGCCTGGGCATTTACCTTAGCCCATGGTCCTCTCCCCGCAAATATCTCTTCCCATACCACAAATTGCCCACCTGTGACATGGCTACTCTCTCCACCTGGGCATGCTGCTTGGTCCTCGTTTGGTGGGATCTTCTGTCACGTTCATTGAAGGACGGGTCAGACCAAGGCGCAGCGTGATATGCGTACATTTTTATTTACACTGAATAAACACACGACAAAACAACAAAGGAAACGAAACGTGAAGTCCAATGTAGTACAGAACAACAAACCTTACACGGAACAAGATCCCACAACCCACTAGTGCCAATAGGCTGCCTAAGTATGTCCCCAATCAGAGACAACGAGCTACAGCTGCCTCTGATTGGGAACCACACCGGCCAACATAGATCTACACATAATAGATCGAAACATAGAAAACACACAACAAAGAATATACACACCCTGACTCAACATTTAAGCGTCCACTGAGTCAGGGCGTGACAGTGCTTGTCAAATTGTGAATGAGAGACTGATGAAGTGTGTGCAGCCTGCGCAAGAAACAGAGCAGAGCACATGCCTTTAATGCAACTTTTTTTCAAGTCGTCATTAGAGTCGCATCATGCAGCCTCCGAATGTATTAAAAATCATAACATATAGTCTAACGTTTGTATCACATCTAAAGTTGCATAAATAACTCTAAATTAAGCATATAGGAGGACCTGTTTATTTGTTAACTGCTCAACACAGAATAGCCGCATGTGCGCATTCCCGCCGAAATCATTCTGGGAAAATATCCTTTCTATTTTATTCAGCCATGTTCAATTGTATTCTTCATTCCATAAAATAATATCAAATAATGCCACGGAATTCTAAGCAAATCTTGTCTGATAAATGAACTAGTGTAGCCCACAGCCATATGGCATAGCCAGATCAGGGCCTAACATAAGGACAACTCAGAATAGGCTATTCTGTTCTTCTGAAATAGGCTACATTTTCTTCATATCATGTTTCTTTAGACCTGTCTAAAATAAACAATGGATTTATTGTGATGGTGTAGGCTATATTAAATGGATTCATTAGATTTTTTTAAATGTAGATGTTCCAAAGGTCCACATCAGTGGCTTGTATGCTATGCGTGGAAGCCAGGAGATGCTAAACGTGGTTATGTTAATTTCCGGTCAATTACCGTAAAACCGGCAGTTATTTGCATGACAATGACTGGCTGACAAAATGTAATGAATGCCACAGCCTTGGCAAAAATAGTTACATTTTACACTGGGAAATATGCAAATAAGGTAGAATAAATTCTCAAGATAAATTGTATGCTCACACAACCTAAAATTAAAAGTTGAGTAAACATACAATTCAACTTGAGAATGAATGTTGGTTCAGCTATATGCCCAAATGTTGAGCAAACTCAACATCCTATTGCAGCTGGTTGCCTCACACTTATATATATATATATTTTTTTTTTTTACAGTGCACTCATAACATTGATTTCCTGTTTGGCACGACAAACTATACTTTGGACACAAACTGGGGGTGTGCCCCTGACCACAGTCGCTCCTGACAACATGTCTAGCCAATAAAGTTGGGGTTTGGAAAAAACATTATAAGAGAGAGTAATATTCTCCTCCCACACAAAGGAACACAACTTGTGTCACCACTGGAAAGTCTGTGACACATTCACTAATGTAGCCATCCAGACATTCAGTCAGAGAAAACACTATAAATCACTTACCCAGAGTTCCCCGGGAGTCTCTGTGTCTTGTTTTAGGTGGTCTCACATTGACATGCATTTCAAATGATTCCACAAGACAGCCATGGTTAGTTTTTTACTTAAATAATGTTCTCAAAAGTAACTAAACGTTTACAACTGTTCTATATACGTTTCCAGTAAATACTGACTCATTTCTAGAACACAATCGGTAGAATCTATTTACACAGCTTATTTCACAGAAAACAATATTCATATATATTACACTGAATTAGAAGAAACAGCCCTCTCACATAACATACAGTACTGATAAATACTTTCTAAACTTAAGCATGGCTTTTAAGTTAAAGCACATTGATACTATTAAGGTTATTAGTATATTTAAATAAAATGCTGTCAACTGAGGGCGGGGTGCTGAAGTGTCAAAGTCTATCATAGAGGTAAAAGTTATATAACTAGTTCCCTTTCAGTGCCTCAAGCTCAAGCCAGTGTTTTGAGCGTGGAAGACAGCTGCGACCGTTGTGACCCAGTAGCCATCATCTTCCTCATAGACAATTGTTTGAACACCTCCATGACTTTCTTCCTGAAGTTCTTCCCCACGATCACGTAGAGGACTGGGTTGAGCACGCTGTTGAAGAAGGCCAGGTAGGTGAACACCTGGTTGCAGATCTCCAGACTGTTGCTGAGGTGGCAGCCTGAGATGATGCCCGCCCTCAGGAGGACATCCAGGGCAGTGACCAGGTGGAAGGGCACCCAGCAGAGTAGGAAGGCCAGGAGAACAGCCAGCACCAGCAGAGTGGCCTTCCTCTCCGTGTGCTCCGTGTTGAACCTCTCCATGGCCTGGTTCTTCAGGGCCTGGATGATCTGACAGGTGCAGTAGGAGATCACCGACACAGGGATGGCAAACCCAAACACAATGAACATCACGTTGAACACCAGCTCCATCTTGAGACTGGGGTAGTCCAGAAAGCAGGCGGTCACTCCATAGTCTGGGAACCACTTCACTGCCCTGAAGAGCATGGTGGGGGTGCCCAGCAGCAGCCCGAAGCCCCACACTAACAAACAGCCCAGCTTGGCGTTGGAGGGCCTCCTCATCCTCCCGTGGCTCATTGTATGCACCAGTGCCACATAGCGGTCCACGCTGACCAGAACCAGCAAGTAGATACTGCAGTACGCATTCATCTTAATGCCCACATTGACCAGGCGACACAGCAGGGGGCCGAAGGGCCAGTCGAAGCCGTTGGCCACGTTGACGGCCCAGAAGGGGAGGCAGGAGACCAGGAGCAGGTCAGCGGCGGCCAGGTTACTCAGGTAGATCTCTGCTACGGTGCAGGCCTTCTTATGCAGGCAGAAGACCAACAGGACAAAGACATTACCCAGAATCCCCAGGACACTGATGGCCAGGATGTAGCCCGGTTGCATGGTGTGGAGCCAGTCCCACTCCTCAGCGAATGGGCAGTGGCTGGTGTTGGTACTGTTCCTTCCTGTCATGTCTGTAGAGTTGGTGATGATGTCCATTTTGGAGCTGTAGAGAAATATGTTGTGTAAATGAGGGGGAGGGGGGTACATGGCAGATACCATTCCTGGACAGGTAACTCTCAGTAGGCATTGATTTATCAAGTTCAGTGTATAATCTAGTACGTTAGTCACATGCTCATGCTGGTTGTGTCATAACATCCACTCCTCATGCTCTTGTGGTGATGGGAGCTGCAACTCATGTGCTTTATTACTCAGCAGAATATGGAACTTCCCTGCTCCACAATGTGACTTTTTTGTATTATTTATTCAGAGACACTGTGTCTGCAAGTCATCATAAGGAAGTTACCTTATTAGAGTACTGTACAAGTGTCTAAGTGGTTGTTTCAGTGTGCTATTCATTATGCATATATTTATGTGCATTTCTTGTAAATATCTCATAGACCGGAACTAAAACACTCAGGTAGCGAAAGATAATAAAATATTCATGAAACTTAAAGTGAGGATCAATATCTCTTGTCATGAAAACATTTGGGAGCCAAAACATTGTTCAATAATTATTCTCAGCATTATGATAGAATTACCTATCTTGTCACTGTTTTACATCAGTGTCATCATCGGCTGTGACTTATGACAAAAACAGCCCCAACATTCTTTGAAAAGGTGTGCAATAAATTCTTATAAATCCCCATTTGTGCTGCTGCAGGAGTGGTACACACATTATTATCTCAAAAATAAACATACATCTGTATCCGTGCACCGAATGCCAATTAACTTTTTCATAGAGAAGAAATCCCTTCAATATGTGGTATGAAGAGACTATTGAAAGTACTGTCTCTCTCCTCATGCTGTCAACCACAAATTATTGTTCACATACCTCTGTCTGTTTGAGGAGTTTTAGAGTTTAGCCTCAGAGAGTGCTCTCCATAAATGTATTTTTGTCAGTTAAAAAGTCTGACAACATAAACAATCTTCTTGTTTCTAAGTTGGATTCGAAAATGAGAGGAGAGGCAGCAATTCAATCAAGGTAACCCTAAATATGATCTGAACTAACAATTTACTGTGATATAACTCTCCAATCATTTATAATTTTCTTACATTAGTGACAAACCTGTGTTTGAAATGTTAAAGATACATTACTTCATCTTACAAACCTTGTTGGCTGGAGCAGGAGTCCTCTGGTCTAAGTGTAAATCCAGATGTGCCGTGCGTCTGGTCAGTCCAGTCAAGACGTTTCCCCACAGTGTTCCAGGCTCCTCTACCCTGGGGTCGGCACTGACTCACTCTCTTAAAGGAGGGAGCCCATCATGGAAGTGATGTCACTCAAAATCTGTGTACTCTTTTCTTCCCTCTTCCCCCAGTTGACTTAAATTGTGTCTGGTTTATCTTGATTATAATTTCTGCCCTGTCTCATACTCCAATTTGTATAAGATTTTGATGGAATGTCCCTCGATATGTAAGTGTGTTTGGATATCTACTGACATCTCAGCTGTTGTTTGGGTCATCCTAACACAACCTATGAACTGGACATTTTCACTTTTACTCATCTTAGATATTGAGGAAACCTGAGGAAGGATGTTGACCCTCGTGAAAGATTCTAACTGTGGGTTCCTTCCTGTTCTCTTGATCTTTTGTTCTGTCTGATGAGATGTGCCACTTTTAGGCTGTGTTTACACAGGCAGCCCAATTCTGACCCTTTGCCCAATTTCCCATCTCCCGAGTGGCGCAGTGGTCTAAGGCACTGTATCGCAGTGGCAGCTGTGCCACTAGAGATCCTGGTTCGAATCCAGGCTCTGTTGTAGCCGGCCGTGACCGGGAGACCCGTGGGGCGGCGCACAATTGGTCCAGGGTATGGGAGGGAATGGCCGGCAGGGATGTAGCTCAGTTGGAAGAGCATGGCGTTTGCAATGCCAGGGTTGTGGGTTTGATTCCCACGGGGGAAAAAAATATATATGTATGCACTCTGGATAAGCGCGTCTGCTAAATGACATAAATGTAAATTTTGGCCAAAGGATCTAATCTGATTGGTCAAAATACCAATTATTGGCAAAAGATCAGAATTGGGCTGCCTGTGGTCCTCTGTAGCTCAGCTGGTAGAGCACGGCGCTTGTAACGCCAAGGTAGTGGGTTCGAACCCCGGGACCACCCATACAAAAAAAAAAAAATGTATGCACGCATGACTGTAAGTCGCTTTGGATAAAAGCGTCTGCTAAATGGCATATTATATTATTATTATATTATGTGTAAACGCAGCCATATGAGCCAAAATAAACATTAAAAACAAACATCTTTCACAATCACAACAAATGTGAGAAAATATCCTTTGTACTACTTTGTAATATAAATCTTCATAAGAAGTATGTGACAGCTCGATGTCCTAAGTGGTATGATATACAGTACATGAAATACCGTGACACTAAATCAGAGTATAGTTTAACTCTTGTGCAGAACGTTCATAGCATACAAACTCTGAACTTGAGTTGCTTAAAACAATACATCTTTACTAATTCATTACTAATGCCAGGAAGGACAAATGAAACATTTGCCACACACAATGACTTACACTAGAGTTAAGCCTACATACCATGCTCTTATTTAGTGTCAATGTAGACCTAAACCACTTGATATGTTAATGTGAACTATTATTTTCTGTACATTCACGGCTGCATTGTGTTTTAGACATGTTGTAAATCCATTATCCCTCTGTGAACAGCCTTGAATCCAAGCAGGGTGGGGTATCGTCAGAGGGGAACAGCAAGGAGGTGAAACAATAAGCCATCAAGTGTTTCTAATTAGTATCAGGAAGATCACAATCAAGGGTCAAAGGTCAGAGCACAACACAATGATCCATTACAAGTGTGTTTGTGTGGTCAGTTCAAATACTCCAAGATAATCAGAGGTAACTGGAATAGTATCACTTCAGTATATAAACTGAAGAGTATTTTCTGGTTTATTGGGTGTTTGAACTTTAATGTTGTTGTTGAAAGAGATTTATGAGAGAATGTTCCTCTTGAGATGACGTGCATAATACAGTGTGTTTACATTCAACATGATTTGTGATCCCACCACAGTAATGATGCCAACACTATTTTACGGGGTAATGTTGGTAATCTGTTTTATAGTCATGTCACAACATGAGGCAAGGTTCAAGGTAAAAAGTCAAGTGTAGGTTTATTCAAATTATAAGGTGATTGTTATGTGAATTATTTAACAAACTATTTCAGTTTCTCTGTGTGTCTCCCAAAAGGTTGTAAGTCTTTTGGGATTTAAGTAACGGCCAGAGTCCCGGTCTGCATAGTCAGATATATTTATTCATTGAGAATTCTGCCATCACAATTTCAGAGTCCATCTTTTATACTCATACGTCATACAAAAATAAATCCCTCCCCTCTGTAGGTGGGCTGTAGTTTTCCACTCTAAAACTGCTCTACTGACCTTCAGTTCACACACACACACACATATACACACATGCATACACACATACATACATACACACACACACACACATATCCTACTCCCGCCCAACTACCTCATCCCTATATTGTTATTTATTTTGCTCATTTGTACCCCAGTATCTCTATTTGCACATCATCTCTTGCACATCATTCCAGTGTTAATACTAAATTGTAATTATTTTGCACTATAGCCTATTTTATTGCCTTACCTCCATAACTTGCTACATTTGCACACTGTATATTATATGTATTTCTGTTGTATTTTTGACTTTGTTTTGTTTTACCCCATATGTAACTCTGTGTTGTTGTTTTTATCGCACTGCTTTGCTTTATCTTGGCCAGGTCGCAGTTGTAAATGAGAACTTGTTCTCAACTGGTTTACCTGGTTAAATAAAGGTGAAATAAAAAAAATAATAATTTTACTCAGTTATTGCCGTTCTCACAATATTCTGCACCAGTTTCTCCCCTCCCTAAATTGGGAGGCCTCTTTATCTTAGTTTCTCAGTTGTCTTTGTTGTCTGGCCTAACTCTTACTCACATTGCTAAATAGTGGCTCAATGCCATAGCCTTTACTGGTCCTACACTCACACATTTCTAACACATTATACACAGTTTCAGGGTGTAATAATTAGTCATTAATAATTAATCTATCAGTGATAGAGTCCAAAATCCCAAGGACTAGGCCTAAACAGGCATTCCTGCACAGAAAAGAGTCAACTGGAGATGCACTGCTGTACGTCAAGTAAGTCACTGCTGTAAATAATTATGTTTATGTCATTCACATGCACGGCCTCTTGTCCTGCATTGTCATAAGTATTGGCATTTATCTTGTCATTTATTTAATACTAAGTGCTTTTCCACACTTGGTATCCAACTTGTACTGTTCTGTAATGGACAAACATATCCATCTTCGTAACATTGCAAAAATCAGAAACCTTTTGTCCAAAAATTATGCAAAAAAGCTCATCCATGCTTTTGTCACTTCTCGATTAGACTACTGCAATGCTCTACTCTCTGGCTACCCGGATAAGGCACTAAATACACTTCAGCAAGTGCTAAATATGGCTGCTAGAATCTTGACTAGAATCCCAAAAATGATCATATTACTCCAGTGCTAGCTACACTGGCTTCCTGTTAAGGCTAGGGCTGATTTCAAGGTTTTACTGCTAACCTACAAAGCATTACATGGACTTGCTCCTACCTATCTCTCCGATTTGGTCCTGCCGTACATACCTACACGTACGCTTCGGTCACAAGACGCAGACCTCCTTATTGTTCCTAGAATGTCTAAGCAAACAGCTGGAGGCAGGGCTTTCTCCAATAGAGCTCAATTTTTATGGAGTGGTCTGCCTATCCATGTGAGAGACACAGACTCTGTCTCAAACTTTAAGTATTTACTGAAGACTCATCTCTTCAGTAGGTCCTATGATTGAGTGTAGTCTGACCCAGGGGTGCGAAGGTGAACGGTAAGGTACTGGAGCGACGAACCACCCTTGCTGTCTCTGCCTGGCCGGCTCCCTTCTCTCCCCTGGAATTCTCTGCCTCTTACCCTATTACGGGGGCTGAGCCACTGGCTTGCTCGCACTC